TAGGGCTAGGGTTTGTGATATGGGTTAGTTTTAGGATTAGTTTTTGGGGTAAAAATTTTGGGTTTTGCAAATATGTTTGCGTGTTGCATTTGCTGCCCTCTTTTTGTTTCGTATGGCTTACTTTGCGCCAAACACTGATATGTTTGTTTTCTGTGATATATTCCTTTAAACGATTCTTATTTTGACATTGTCATGATGTATATGAACTTTTAATTTGCTAATTTTCTGCTTGTTTATATTTCGGTGTTTGGGTTACGTTTACAGTTTATTAGCGTGAATTTGCTGGGTGTAGGCCATCCCGCTAAAAATATGTCATTTTTCGCTTAACGCGCTCTTTGCCGGCGCTATATTGCGCCCTCAATTAACACATTTAATTAAATTTAGGAAATTTTTAGACTAAGTTCTCTATGCATTATTCACTATCTATCTTTCTTCCCCGCCCAAACTCCCCCAAACCCCACCAGTCCCGTAAGACTGTAGGCTGGAATTATAGAAACCTGAATGGGGCTACACAAGCTACTTTTGCCGATTTGACTGCCTTTATAAATTCAAAGATATTTTATGGAAAACATGCGCACAAAAAATTTTGTACTCCTTTGGTAGCACATTACGCCTTCTCTAAATTTTATACTTAAGGAAAGGGTATCCTTCGGTTTTAGAAAACATTCCAATTATGAGCTTTTTTACGATTGTGAGGTGTCCTTTCATAATACATCGTATCCGTGCTCCATATCTTTTGCAATATCTTATGAGAACTATGTGACTTCTTCCTCAAACTGTAGGCGAAAGCGTACGTTTTCTTAAACAGGATGTACACGGTGCGCAGTTTTTGAACCTTGAATTCGAGTGTAGCAGGCAGTAGGTCTCAAGATTATTCAGACATTTAGAAACTTTTTTAAAACTGAAAGATGACCTTTCTTTAAGTATAAAATAGAAAGAAGGCGTAATTTTCTAGCAAACGAGTATAAAAATAATTTTTTCGTGCATGGTTTCCATAAAATGTATTTGAATTTATAAAGGCAATCAAATCAATGATAGAAGAGCATACTATTTAATCAGTTACTTTTTACAGTACATTCGTTTTTTTAATGGTCAGAACGAATCTCGTTAAAAAGCCCGCATCCTATCATGACTTAAATATCTTCAGAATAGGCTGCAAGATAATAACTATCACGACCTCAGTCAATGCCGAGTATCGAAAGAATATCAATCTTTCGCATGTCCGCATGCTGTACGAATTTTGGCGCGTACTGTGCTCAAGGCTTTTGTCGCAACAGTCATTTAATACGGATCTGGGACTTAATTCGTACTGCCAGAAGGTTAACGCTGCCTATAAGAATACACGATAATACCTCCTAGCATTATTGATGCACGAAGACCTGGCCTACCATTCATCAGACAATTCTCCCTCCATAATGAACAAGTCGTGGGCCTGGGAATACATGTGGAGTTCAACAAAGGCGTTCCCAATAAGGTGGATAAGGTCGCCAAGGACGAACCAAACTTTGCCCAGTTCCTTGTGTTTCTTCCAAGCAGATGCCTTTGCCATCAGTCGTTTTCCAATTCTGACTACTTTAGCGAATTTGTGATCATCAAAATCTAAAAGACAAGAGGCACGATAAAATTACGATCGCGCCATTTTGTGACAGGAAGGGAGGTGAAGTGGGGAAAATGATTGATCCAAAATTGACTTGGCCGTCCATTAGGTATACGTGGTTAAATATGAATACACAGAATACGCAATCTTCTTGAACTGACGTACACATAAATCATAAAGTAATTAATTAATTTTTCAGATGGTAATTTATTAAAAAATTTATTATTCAGTTTGTTGTCTCATTTTAATTTAGTAATTTGCTTTATTTAAGTTTTTTATTTTATTTAATGGTAATTTACTCATTGTT